ATGTGGTGCCAAGCCCCAGCCCATGGACCACACAGTAGGAGTAACACTGCCTTGCAGAACGCAGGAAATACAGAATATAACAACAGCCTCACTTTCTTTTTTACCATGACAGGAAAAATACGAACAGAAATCTAAAATCACTGCAGTGCAGAAATGTGGGTACAAAATACAGAAATCCAGACAAGACAGGGGTCCTCCTGGTCAGTTGCGAGGTCGATTGGGGTACAGGGGGGCAACCTGTGCTCGATGGAGTTACACTCCCCCTGAGGACACAGGACCGCAGTTGGGGGGTCTTCCTGTACTCAGCACTGACGCTTGATACTCACGTGTTGGCTGTGGCCAGGAAGGGCTTTGCATAGTTAAAAGCTTCTGCACCAGCTGCAACTGTACCTTGAGCAGCCTGACTTGGCAATGGTGGTCCATTCCTTGCTAACATCCAGTTTTGATTATTGTAACACCCTCCACATGGGGGCTGACTTTGAAGATGGCCCAGAAACTACAACTGGTGCAAAGGTTGGCAGCCATGATTCTAACTGGAAGCAATTAGGGGAGCGCACAGTGCCCCTATTAAAGCAGCTCCTCTGGCTGCCGATAAGTTTCTGGTCCCAATTCAAGGTGCAGGTTATAAGCTACTAAGCACTAAATGGTTGGGGCTCCAACTATCTTCGTGATCACACCTTCCCCTATGAACCAGGCTTTAAGATCTGCTAAAGAGGCCCTCCTCTCACTTCCACCACCGCCACAGGCATGGCTGGCGGGGTCAAGGGAGAGATCCTTCTCAGTTGTGGCCCCTCGAATAGGAAACATCTTCCCCAGGGAGATTAGGCAAGTCACCACACTGCCCTCTTTTCACAGCGATCTGAAAACTTGGATGTTCCAGCAAGCATTTGAGAAAGACTACTCCCTAGTACAAATGCCCAGTCTATAGGTCACCAGATAGTACTCTGTTCTCTGGACCTCATCCAATTCCCCAGCCCTAGGGAATACTATTTTGAACTATCCCATGCCCGACCCTTTTATAGCCCAGTCATGCCCACTTTAGTAATTCTGGTCATTGGTTTTTGTTGAACATTGTCTGATGGAGCTTCAATGCTGCTGTTTTTTATTTAATTGTGTTTTATCTGGTTGTATTTTACGATGTCCCTATTTTAGAGGTGTTCTTGTTTTAATGGATTGCTTTGGTTTTTGTCTGTTGGACATTCTGTCCCATATGTAAGCCACCCCAAGTCCCTTCAGGAAGATGGTGGTGGGGTATAAGAAAAAAATTGTTGTTGCTGTTGTTGTTGTTACCCTGTTGATGTACCCTGTTGCTCAAGTTGATACTAGATGGGCTCTACAAGAAAAAGAAACAGGAGAGTGGACATGAAGCACACGCTGGAAGAGCAAACAGGACAGTTACTTAAATTATAGGTTGAGTCTCCCTTATTAGGAAATTGAAAATTGTCCAAATACTGAAACTTTTGTCACCACAACTGCCAATTTCCTCTTTTGAAAATAGGGTGCTAGTCACATATCCAAACCCCACTGAGTTTTTTTCCTTGAAGGGGAATGAGAAGAGGTTAAAAGACTCAATTTGCACAAAAGCCAACAGCCCAGACGCTTTGTTTACCTTCTACTTGGCTATTGGTGGTGCAAAGCAGGGCAGGCACTTTAGAACCAGTCCGTGAAGGTGATTGTAGAGCAGCCTTAATAGATTTTGCCTGTCTCCAGCCCAGAAAAACTGAACGAGATTCAATGGGCTTAGGTCTTTCTCTTCTTGTTACTTTGTTAAAGTGTGCTGACAGCTGGAAAAGCGTCTGGGACATCTGCTTTTTGAAGGAACCTCATGAAAGCAGCATTTCCCCCTATCCACCCCACTCTTCTCTTTCCCCTGTCCACTTTCTGACAGTGGTGGAGTGGGGGCTCCTTGAAGTGAGTCTCAGTGAGCACTAGAAATGTTATAACCCTGCTTCCCCCAAACTTCATTCACCATATGTATCCAAATACAGGTGTTACAAAAAATGGAAATCTAATTTTATTATGATGCAGAGGAATGAATAGTAACTTTATAAGAGTAACTAGAACCTGAACATCCTCATTCAACTCAGATTAATCAAAAACCACCCAGCACCCAATTTTAGTGGCTGCACACAGATATGACTCAAATGAATGACAAGTTGTAGAGATTCCATACCATTTCCAGATGATCATTACTGACTCACCAACAATGTATTCATGTAACAAGTCCAGAGCATATGACAGACTTCTAGAAACATTAATCCCCACACCAATTTCTGTCTACAAGAATAATCTCACTTTATACCATACAGAGACACTAAAAACATTATATTTTGAACAAAGACCACACTTTCAAACTGGTAAATTGATAATATCAGTAACTTTCAGTTTATTCATATAGATTTCATAAAAGAAGGATAAAAATAAACTGTGATGTCTTCTTTGAAGAAAGGGCATTAAATATGTTTTACAAACTTGAGAATGATTTTCACAAGCATTCAATGGTAACAACTTTACTTTCTCTTGATACCACAAGGCTCTCGGTGTTGGCAACATAAATAGCCCTTGCACACAGACTAAGTTCATCTGACAAGGTTGTTCCAGAGTCAGTTAAATACTTTTTTCCTGTACAGATCTAACTTCATGACAAAATTTCCACCAGGTGTCAGGCTGTCATACTCCAAAAGAAAAAGATATATATCTTAAGATGCCAGCCACACAACACCCCAAAAAGATATACATACATTTAAATTCGATTAACACAGGCCCCAAGTATTTAAGAGTCGGATTCCAGTTTTGAAGGGGCAAGGTTAGCTAGATACATAAAGTTGGCAATGAGCATGAATGCATCTTAGGCGATCATTTCCTGGCAAATTCTCGTTAAAGAGAACCCATGCTACTTTTACTTCACAACTACATCTATTACTTTAGAGTATAAGAGGAAAAGCTGTAACATGTTTCCGTTTCGGAACCAAAACACAAATTTATGATTTCTTCCAACCCTTTAAACTAGCTCTGAACTCTTTAAACACCTGCCTCAAACAAGCAAGAGTTCTTTCTCCCACCCTGGATATTCCACAGATATATAAACCCCACTTTCCTAGTTTCCAACAGACCTCACAACCTCTGAGGATGACTGACATAGATGCAGGTGAAATGTCAGGAGAGAATGGCTCTGGAAATGGCCATACAGCCTGTAAAACTCACAGCAACCCAGTCTTTAAACTTAGTTTGCCAAAGTATCACAAAACTGGTTGTAGAGCTAATATGACCAGGAGAAGCAAGGTGCATCTCAGGACACAAGGACAGGGGGGGAATGAAGGTGTTTAAAAATTGGGGAGAGGAGTGAAAACAATAGAGAAGAATATTCTGTGAAGCAGCCTCCACAGACTTGGCACACAAAACACCCTGAGACATTTGCCAATTTGCAACCGACCACAATTCAAAGTGCTGCCTTTAGCATTTAGGATTTCTGGGAGTTGAAGGCCAAAACATCTGGGGACTCACAAGTGAAGCACCACTGCCCTAAACAGTTCTGGCCCAGCTTATCTATCTGAACATATCTCACCCTATGAACCAACCCGGATGCTAAGATCTTCTGGGGAAGCCCAGTTCTCAGTCCCAACTCCTTCGCAGGTGTGGCTGGTGAGGGCGAGAGACGGGACCTTGTCAGTGGTGGTCCTGTGGAACTCCCTCCCCAGTGAAATTACATTAGCTCCCTCCATCCTGTCCTGGCTATAGGATCAAGCATTTGGAGAGTAGTACAGTGCAATAGGCAGCTAGGAAGTGCAATAGGCAGCTATGGATTATGTTCTGGGTCTTTTGTGTTATGGTTTTGAGTTCATTTAATGTATTGATACGTTATGGTTTTTATTGATTTTAATGTATAATGCATATTGTGTTTGCATGTTTATATTTATTGTACCACTGCATTATTGCCAGGCGTTTTGGACTACAACTCCCACCATTCCTACTTGACAAAGTTGAGCCCTCCCTCTGGGTATTTTGGACTGCAACTCCCACCATTCCTAATGGGCAAACTTGAGCCCTCCCTCCAGGTGTTTTGTACTGCAACTCCCACCATTCCTAATGGGCAAACTTGAGCTCTCCCTCTGGGTATTTTGGACTTCAACTCTCACCATTCCTAATGGGCAAACTTGGGCCTTCCCTACAGGTGTTTTGGACTTCAACTCCCACCATTCCTAATGGGCAAACTTGGGCCTTCCCTCCAGGTGTTTTGGACTTCAACTCCCACCATTCCTAATGGACAAACTTGGGCCCTCCCTCTGGGTATTTTAGAGCTTCCACCACACTAAAGATTGTTCTTTTTTTTGAAAAGCCACCTTCCTTTGCCATTTCCCCTCCTCCCATCTGTCAGCTCATCCTAATGCCTCTTCTTACCCCTTCTCTTCTCCTGATGCTTGGCAATGCTAATCTCTTTCCAAATCCCTTTGCTCTCTTCTCACTCTCCCCTCCCCCCTCTTTAACCCATTCTTAAAACATCTTTTCAAATTCCCTTTTGCAGACCTTAGCCCAAGCATGGGCAAACTTGGGCCCTCCAGGTGTTTTGGACTCCAACTCCCATCATTCCTAACAGCCTCAGGCCCTTTCCTTTTCCCCTCATCCACTTAAGCGGCTGAGGGGGAAAAGGAAGGGGCCTGAGGCTGTTCGGAATGGTGGGAGTTGAAGTCCAAAACACCTGGAGGGAGGGCCCAAGTTGGCCCACGCTTGGCGTAGTTGCACCCTGAGAGAAAGGCGACCCAATGCAAGGCGCTGTGATTCCAGCACACACACGCCGCTTGTGTTGTGTGTGTTTTGTCTCTCTCCCTCCCTCTGAATCAAAGGTCACAAGGAAGCCGAGGCGGGAGGACGCGCCCCAGAGCGGCAGGCCTCTCTCTTCCCTGCCAGGCCTCTCTCCGCTTTGAACCTTCCTCCCTCCCTCTTCCCTCCTTCCCTCCCTCCCTCTTTCAGACCCGGCGCCTGCCCGGGTTCCGCTCGCTCACCTTCTGGGCGTTGCTCTGCTGCTGCAGCACGTTCTGCTCCACCGTCATGGCTGGAGACGGCGCTGGGCGAAAGGGGGAAGAGCGGGAGCCCGAGGAGGCGGCCGAGGCCTCTGCTGCGGGAGCCAAGCGCAGCCGTGGCGGGAGGAGGAGGAGGAGGCAGAGGGCGCTCGCTTAGTGGCGGGTGAAGGCGGCGGCGGCAGCGCCCGCCTCAACCAAACCTGCCCGGCGCTGGCATCTTGCTCGGGCTCCTCCCTCACTCCCTCCCTCACTCCCTCCCTCCTCCTTCTTCCTCCGCTTCGGTTTCCTTTTCCTGGCGGCGCCTGGATGAAAGGGTGTCTCCCCCTCCTCCCCCTCCCCATCTTCCGCCCCCAAACAGGAACACAACACACCCTTTCGCTCCCAGGACGAGGCCATCCCTTCCTTATTCTTCCCCGGGATCCCCAATTACAGACAGTTCCCGACGACTATTGGCATAGGTTTCCAGAAGTGACAAAGACAAAAACCTGTCTGTCTACCAGTATTTAAATTATTATTATTTTTATTATTATTATTTGAAACACCACAAGATAACTCGAGACAGGGCCTTTTCTGTGGTGCCCCCCCCCCCGACTCTGGAACGCCCTCCCAAAAGATCTTAGACAGGCCCCTACACTGGCAGTCTTCAGAAAGAACTTGAAGACTTGGCTGTTCCGATGTGCCTTCTCAGATTAGGAATCTCCAATACCAAGTCCTAGAAGCACTTTAGTAGAACTAAGATTGCTGCACACCGCACACTGCACTTACTTTATAATCCTACATACCTCCTGCCACATCAGCACTTTTAATCTTGTACCCATTACTCTGGCCCGGCCCAGTTTTATAGTGTCTTGATGTATTGTTTATGTTTGTTGTTATACTGCTTAACTGTTTTTAATTTGCTTTAGGTATTGTATTGTTGTATTGTGTTTTGAGGCCTTGGCCTATGTAAGCCGCATCGAGTCCTTCGGGAGATGCTAGCGGGGTACAAATAAAGTTACTTCCCAAGAGTCTAGGACGTTATTATTATTATTATTATTATTATTATTATTATTATTATTATTTGAAACACCACAAGATGAGTCCACAGCAGACACTCTGCTGGCTGTTGTATTGGATCACACTTCGGACACTTCCCAAGTGTCTAGGACTGTGTGATGTATCAGCGAATAATGCGTGCAGATCCCAGTAAGGTGGCCTTTTGCAGCTGGCAGATGGTAATTTTGTCAGCGCCGATTGTGTTTAAGTGCAGGCCAAGGTCTTTAGGCACTGCACCCAATGTGCCGATCACCACTGGGACCACCTTGACTGGCTTGTGCCAGAGTCTTTGCAGTTCGATCTTTAAATCCTCATATTGTGTCAGCTTTTCCAGTTGTTTCTCTTCAATCATGCTGTCACCTCGGATTGCAACCAGGGGCTGCTCAACCCATTACGCAAAGTAAGCATTTGCAGTATAGTTGATTTTGCCCAGAGGCACTCTTGGGGGAAAATAGATGTTGACATATGCAAGTTATAGTTACTGGGATGTATAGTTCACCTACAATCAAAGAGCATTCTGAACTCCACCAATGATGGAATTGAACCAAATATGGCACACAGAACTCCCACGACAAACAGAAAATATATATCAGTGATTGGGGGGGGGGGGCAAAATACTATTTGCTTACCGTTGAAAATTACCTAGGGCCGCCTCTGATTGCAACATCAACAATCCATACTTTGTTTTTTTAACACGATCGTGAGGTCAGGAGTATTGTGCTCCAAAAATCTGTCTGTCTGAATCCGGAAGTCCCAGAGTAGCTTGACTTGTTCATTCTCTGTAACTTTTTCCAGCTTGTGATCCCACCAGTTCTTTGTCGCAGGCAGATGGTATTTGTGGCACAAGTTCCAATGAATCATCTGAGCAACGGTGTTATGCCTCTGCTTGTAGTCTGTCTGCGCAATCTTCTTGCAGCAGCTGAGGATGTGATCTATTGTTTCATCTGCTTCCTTGCAGAGTCTACATTTGGGATCTGTCATTGACTTTTCAATTCTGGCTTTGATGGCATTGGTTCTAATGGCTTGTTCTTGGGCTGCCAGAATCAGGCCCTCCGTCTCCTTTTTCAAAGTCCCATTTGTGAGCCACAGCCATGTTTTTTCTTTGTCAATTTGGCTCTCAATTTTTGCCATGAACTGTCCATGGAGAGCCTTCTTTGGCCAGTTTTGTCTTCTGCTCTGGATTGTGTTTTTACGGTATTGACTCTTTGTCTTTTGCACTTTAAGCAGTTTACTACTATTGACTTCGCTCAATGTTGGTTCTTGACTGCCTTTCACATAATCTGGCCATGTATGTTTCTCTTCTTCTACCATTTGTTTCACTTGCAGAAGCCCTCAGCCTCCTGATTTTCTGGGCAGGTAAAGTCTGTCGACATCACTACGCGGGTATAATAAGTTGTTGTTCATTCGTTCAGTCGTCTCCGACTCTTCGTGACCTCATGGACCAGCCCACGCCAGAGCTCCCTGTCGGCCGTCACCACCCTCAGCTCCTTCAAGGTCAGTCCAGTCACTTCAAGGATGCCATCCATCCATCTTGCCCTTGGTCGGCCCCTCTTCCTTTTGCCTTCCACTTTCCCCAGCATAATTGTCTTCTCTAGGCTTTCCTGTCTCCTCATGATGTTGCCAAAGTACTTCAACTTTGTCTCTAGTATCTTTCCCTCCAGTGAGCAGTCGGGCTTTATTTCCTGGAGGATGGACTGGTTGGATCTTCTTGTGGTCCAAGGCACTCTCAGAATTTTCCTCCAGCACCACACTTCAAAAGCATCTATCTTCCTTCTCTCAGCCTTTCCTATGGTCCAGTTCCTAGGTTACTACAGGGAATACTATTGCTTTTACTATGTGGATCTTCGTTGCCAGTGTGATATCTCTACTCTTCACTATTTTATCGAGATTGGACATTGCTCTCCTCCCAAGAAGGAAACGTCTTCTGATATCCTGGCAGCAGTTTGCATCTGCAATAATCTTTGGTCCTTGAAATACAAAGTCTGTCACTATCTCCATGTTTTCTCCCTCTATTTGCCAGTTATCAATCAGCCTTGTTGCCATAATCTTGGTTTTTTTTTGTGTTTAACTGCAACCCAGCTTTTGCACTTTCTCCTTTCACCTTGGTTAGAAGGCTCCTCAGCTCCTCCTCGCTTTCGGCCATCAGAGTGGTGTCATCTGCATATCTGAGGTTGTTAATGTTTCTTCCAGAAATTTTCACCCCAGCTTTGCATTCATCCAGCCCCGCACATCGCATGATGTGTTCTGCATACAAGTTAAAAAGGTTGGGTGAGAGTATGCAGCCTTGCCGTACGCCTTTCCCAATCTTGAACCAGTCTGTTGTTCCGTGGTCAGTTCTTACTGTTGCGACTTGGTCCTTGTACAGATTCCTCAGGAGAGAGACAAGGTGGCTTGGGATGCCCATCCCACCAAGAACTTGCCACAATTTATTATGATCCACACAGTCAAAGGCTTTAGAATAGTCAATAAAACAGAAATAGATTTTTTTTCTGAAACTCCTTGCCTTTCTCCATTATCCAATGGATATTGGCAATTTGGTCTCTCATTCCTCTGCCTTTTCTAAACCCAGCTTGAACATCTGGCAACTCTCGCTCCATGTATTGCTGGAGTCTTCCTTGCAGGATCTTGAGCATTACTTTACTGGCATGAGAAATAAGGGCCACTGTACGAGCAGTCTTTCGCTGCTGGAAGAGATTCTGAGTATATCTGTGAGCAGGAGTTGAGCATGTCCTGCAGTCGTGCACGCAGTTCCACAAATTTTTTGCACTTACTAGTGTAGGCTGATGTGTGATAATGGACTGGTGAGACCTGACATATAATATATGTGAAATATATATAATTTGTTGCATTTGGGGGCCATTGCTTTTTAGTTGTGTGCATCGCCCATCTGGGGTGTTTGTCGTTGATTGTAGTTTCTGATGTGTTTCGGCAGTGTCGTCTGTGTTGAGCCAAGCGTTTGACGCGAGAATCTCTGACACTAGTACTTAAGTAATTGTTACATGAGACTGTGATGTGTGCTTGTACAGCGAGTGATTCAGCTGGATCCTCGCTCCTCTGCCTTGGGCGTGTCAGCGCAACAACTTCAATTATGCTGTTCTTTAATCTCAAAACACTACTTTTTTCAAAGAAACACTTTCTAAATTCTGTTCGCCGCGAGAAAGAAGAGAGACGACGGGAGCAAGGGCGGCAGAATAGGAACGGGAGGAGAAGAGACCGGGAGAGGCGGAAGGCGAAGAAGAAGGAAAGAAAAAGGAGAAGAACAGAGAGAGAAGGAAAAAGGAGAGGCATCCAAACTATCCTCGATATTATTATTCTTCCTATACAGATCTTCTGTATAGTCTCGCCACCTTCTCTTGATCTCTTCAGCTTCTGTTAGGTCCCTGCCATCTTTGTTTCTTATCATACCAATTTTTGCCTGAAATTTACCTCCAATGTTTCTAATTTTCTGGAAGAGGTCTCTTGTCCTTCCTATTCTGTTGTCTTCTTCCACTTCCATGCATTGCTTATTTAAAAATAGTTCCTTATCTCTTCTGGCTAACCTCTGGAATTGCGCATTTAACTGGGCAGATCTCCCCTTATCCCTGTTTCCTTTTGCTTTCCTCCTTTCTTGGCTACTTCCAGTGTCTCAGCAGACAACCATTTTGCCTTCTTGGTTTTCTTTTTCTTTGGGACGTACTTTGTTGCCGCCTCCTGAACAATGTCTCGGACTTCTGTCCATAGTTCTTCTGGGACTCTGTTTACTAAATCTAATCCTTCAAATCTGTTCTTCACTTCCACTGTATATTCGCTAGGAATGTTAGTGAGATCATATCTAACTGGTCTGTGTATTTTCCCTGATCTCTTTAGTTTTATTCTAAATTGGGCAATAAGAAGTTCGTGATCTGAGCTACAGTCAGCCCCAGGTCTTGTTTTCACCGACTGGATGGATGTCCGCCACCTTTGGCTGCAAAGGATGTAGTCAATCTGATTTCGGTGTTGACCGTCTGGTGAGGTCCATGTATAAAGCCGTCTTTTAGGTTGTTAGAAGAGAGTACTTGTTATTTACAGTGAGTTTTCTGGCAAAATTCTATTAGTCCTGCTTCATTTTATTGTCCCAAACAATGCTTGCCTGTGATCCCAGGTGTCGTTTGACTACCCACCTTAGCATTCCAGTCTCCTTTAATGAAAATAATGTCTATGTATTATCCAGTAGG